TTGTTAGCATCATTGTCTATCAATGTGGGCATACCGCCGCGAATTACTGCTGGAGGTAGGGCCATTGTCATTATCACGTCATGGCTACTGCCAGCATTGTTGCAACCATCCAGGATCGTTCTCTTTCAAAGTGGTGCGCTCCTAAGCAGCACATTTAGCGTCAGCTTTTGTAGCAAACACTCACAAAAGGACGAGGGAACAAGTGATCAACGTCGAGGAATTCTTTCGGGATGCGTCACGCACTCGTTTTCCATTCGGAGTCGCTAAGGCAGGCAAATTGTGTTCAGCCTATACAATGAACTGCTAGAAGGTTTCCCTAAAGGTGGTGAATGTTTGTGCAACCGTTTTTGCCCGTCACTCCTTCCTGAAGCAAGTTCGCTACAGATCAGTCTGAACCGTTGTTGTGAATTACTAGGAGCGATTCGATGACACGATTGTACACGGTAAGCAGACCCTAGCGCTTACACTTGTACCCTTTTGGCCCTTTTGAGCTTGACGGATGTACCTGAGTAGTAGCTAGTTGACATTCGGGCGAGAGATCAATCGCCTGAATGTTAACTAGCACATATACTTCTGTGTTTCCCCCTCAAGTTGTGATATGTATGGAACATTTAACCAGATTTTTTCAAAAAGTATTTTATTTCAGGAATGCTTTGAATTCTTCATGGATTGTATATTAGTATGAACTCCCATTATGAGAAACAATATACCCATTAAAATATAAACAATATTGAGTGTGAGGTTGAAAATCAATGTGAAATAGCCACGTTTCCTCCATTGTTCCCAGAAGATGACAGATTCTAATGTGGGTGGGAAGACGAACGCCAATAGCATTCCGGTGGTGGCACCGATGATTGGAATAATATCCTCGAGATTCGGGATTGTGATTGCGAGCAAGACTGAAATTAGTAGAATTAGTATGACAGGAGAATGGATCAACTCTATACTGGCTCGTACTCATACATCGCTTCTGACTATGAGATGTATAGATTGTGTCCAGTACAAGGAAGATGGCCTCGCAGCGGAAGTGCGTAGCACCGATGCTAATGAACTGTGAATGGCTGATGTGCAGGCGCACTACGGCATTGTGAAGCGATTTCGGTCATCAGTGTGCTTACTCCTTCTTCGGTCGTCTGGATTCTCTCTCGCGCTCTCACTGTTTTTTAGTTGTGAACTCAGTAAGAAAGAAACGGTAGGAAATAGTTTCTTTCTGCCTTTTCAACAGTCTCTTTTGCTTTCCCCTCCGCTGATACTTCACTACTCCAAGCATTCATGTGCAGGTCACAATACCCCTTGTTTATCGCGGAATGTGGCTTTGAATAATAGTCCATTCCTTTGACAAAGGTGTATACTGGGAAGCACCTTGCCTCAGGTTTTGCTCAGCTCTCATCAATGAAGCTGGATTTGTGTTGCTTCTCATGGTGGTCAGTAAAACTCACATGACATAATAACTGTGGCATAGCGAAGCGTGTAGTTCGCTACAGTAGATGCCCAAGTTGGTGCACCTTGTCAGCAAGCGCTGTACCATTGGCCAAATCATTGAGAAAATGGGATAGTGTTGGATTAGATAGCCACAATACATCATGATAAGCAGCATCACTTTGACTGATAAATCGAGACTGAAAACGGATCAATCAGTAATCAACTGAATGAATAGGCTGAAAAACCCATTCGGTTGTGCAGGAAGTTGAGGGAGACATTACATACACACTTCTCTAGCTAACCACTGTGCAGCTATACAGTCAATGATACCACCAGTCTTTTGATGAAGTGGATTGAGGAGGGAAACAATGGGAGGAAAGGTGCATAGCGTGAGATGCCGGCCGCTTATCACGTTAGTAGAGTATATCCCTCCTGAAGTACATTAATCGCGGAAGTGCTTGTTATTTTCTGTTATCTGCTTTTGTAATCATGAAAGGAGGGTTTATTCGGAGCACTAAATGGTGTCAAAGCTAAGGAGCTATAAAAGAACGTCTTATTGTACTACAGAGATATTTTCTCACAGTCTAGGATGAATTTATATTTCAATCATACAACAGATCATGCGTGCAATGAAAAATAGTTGGCTTTCGAATGTAAACTCACGGTTCATTAGAGAGGTTGAGTGTGATGCTCCCCTCAATCTTTGACCCATACGTGATGTAACCCAAAAATCCCATTGCTCCATAGAGTACGCCGACGAAAACCACTGCCATTGAAATTACTCCAAAAAATCCAAGCATTCGATGTGGATTACGCATTTGGTTCTCAAGAGGTAGCACCTGAAGAAAGAGGTAATCTGGAAAAAACACTGTATGGCGATGTGCGGCGGTGAATGTGACCTCAGAACTCGAAGAATTGTGAAACACCTTAGACAGCCGTCAACCGGTAACCTAGCCTGCCCCTCTTGCTGTGTCAACCGAGTTGTACCAAGTTTGTCTGGAGATCCTCAGCAGGCTATAATGTGAAGGAGGCTTGAATTCGAGGGTGCCACAATTCGGAATGGAAATTGGACATAATTCCACCTTGGGAAACCGAAGGGAGTTTTTGATAACACTAATAACCCACTCATTGTTCATCTTCTACATTTTCAAGAATTAGTGTGGTGCTCACCACAGCTTGCGCAAGATAAGCATACGTTATACTCCCGGCAGCTACTGCAGCATCTGGAATCGTGGTCACACCATTGAGATTTGAAATTGGAATATGCGGCATTATAAGTAATCGCTGGAAAATGTAAAGCTGGAATCTTCATTCTGCACATCTCTTCATTGTTGATGTTGGCTACTAAACAATAACAGATGTTGGCTATATTTGACAAATACTGTACATTTATTCTAAAGGACAGCTGTCACGATAATGCGGGGACCCATAATGTTACCGCGCCGGTGTTGAGGTCTAACGAAGTAGAAGGTTTTTTATCTCCTTTGTGCTTAACGGCCATATAATAATGCAGACACAATGTGCGTCATTGTACCATAGACCTCATTAACTCATTCGCACCCTCTGCACTTCGTGAAGAAAGCATCAAAGCGCTCCAAGCTGCGCAATAATAAAATGGCGAAGCATAGAAAGTACGCGTGAAAAACCCTCGTCGTTCTAACGTGATAGTCAGACATGACCACTTTCTAATAGTAAGAAATGTCGGAAAATGGAAACTGCCCAGAACGTTGATAAGAAGGCGACGCCCACGAGTCATGTGGTGTTTCCCTCCATTGCTGAGGAACTGTTGGAGCCTTGCGTGAAAATATCCTTATAAATTTGATTCTTAAGTGAGACTCACCACGATTACAATTGCCATCGCAGTCACTATAAGCACGTTTCCACTGAAGGAAATCCACGACATGACAACAAGATTTTGGACAGTGGTGAGTAATATGAACATGGGCACCATGGCAAAAAATATGAGTTTGAGCGATAAATTTTTTGCGAATAATAAGTCGAATATCTTAACGAGGAGTCGATTTATTCGAGTCAAAAAGTGGATTCAGAGCTCCACACACGGCTAAATTTGCTCTGCTCAACACATGATTGAGCAAAAAGGTGATAGCTGTGGAGCAAGAAGCCATGTTTACTTCACTTTGATCAACACATGATTAAGTAAAAAGGTGATAGCCGTTGAGCAAGAAGCCATGTTTGCTTTGCACTGCTCCCAGATACCTTACAGCTTGAGCATGGTTTTTCACTCTGATTCTACAACAAGAAAAGAAAAAATCACCTAAAAAATCAGGGAGAGCCGACGATCAGGAATTTTTTAGTTTCCTCTCTTAAAGGGGTAGCGCCGATTACGTTGGAGACTTGGAGCACCTCAGAAAATAACGCACGTAATTAAGTCGACACAGAATCAGATGGAGGAACAGTAAGCGAGTTAGCAGTGAGAACTCATTCACTATAAAACTACAAATGAGTAAAAAAACCGCCAGCAATTATCGCCGTATTGGCGCTGCAATGTTGCAATTGTGTTACAGCATCATCTGCAGGTTATCTCAGCTTTTCCGGTACCCATGTATATGCATTCCCTTGCTCGCTTTCCCTGGCTTTTCCAGTACCCAGCAATTGGCTCTGGTCCAAAATTGAGCGGAAGCTGCCTCATGCGAAACAACGTCGTGCTCTTTCGTGCTCGTCCACCGTGAAATGAAATAGTGTCCCTTCTCCACATACTCCTACAAGGTGAGGGCTTGGATAAGCAGAAAAGCTTCTCTCTGGTCGTGCTCACTGTTGCTCACTGCGGGAGTACACTGTGACTGTGTAACCTGTGTGATTATCCTGCAGAAAACAATTGGTTGTTTTGCTTCCACCGCTTAGAATCAGCAATACTTGTTTAGCAAAAAGAAGCTTACAGTTCCTGTAATTTCCCGCAAATTTTGGGCCTTTTTATTGCATGGAGACAGATGCTAGTCGGACAACCCGAAATTGACTACTTGGCCAGCGTGACTCTATGATGCCTAGAAGAGTGGAAGCTGGGAAGTATAAAGCAGAACTCACCTCTTTAGCATGCTCGCACACAAAAATATAGTACACGCAACTGATTCCTAATTGGCAGCAAACACAAGACTTGGTAGCACAGGTTCACGAGAGAACCGAAAACTATGGGGTTGAAAAGGGAGTGAACCACCTGAAAACGCGCTGGGATGCGACACAGTTAGACAGTCTGTGATAACTGAGACGTACAGACGTCCCGTACCCTTTTAGATCGGTGCTACGCAGTTTTTTTGCTCATAAAATTAGAAGAATGAAAACGAACCCATAATGGGAGGCCATATCTTGAATAAACTCAACATAATCTGGCCGGGAGGGAAGTGTCCTCAGCCTATGATTTACGAGTAAGCTACAAGTTTCTTCAGCCCAGTTGGCGCGTATCGAGAGCGTATTTCACTGGGAACATTCCGTTAAACAACTTAACTTTCAATCAACGCTATGCAAAGATACTATATAGAAGTGAGAAAACAACTTCATAGCTTAGTCGTTCATTTCAGCATGCTCAAGTGACAATTCATGAAGAGCACGCGAGCCGTAGGGAAGATTAACTATCAGCACAGCAAGTCCCAAGACAGTTCGAAGACACATTTTGCAATCACTGCTACTCAGAATACCTTCGTTGTAAAAGTGCACAAGTGTACGCAGGGTCCAGGATGGGAGAAATGGCTGTGGTTCCAAACGAGCAAGTACGGCCCTCGTGAAAGGATTCTCCCGGCTCCGTGAAAAACTCACCCATACGCCTTGCGCCACGAACTTTCACGTCACCCACGGGCGGTAAGCTACAAAAGCGATGGTTCGCGGGCATCCGCCACTGTCTCCAAATAGCAGTAAGCGGATGCTACAAGGTTAGACAGTCTTGTGATGACTGAGACGTAGCGATCGTCGTCCTCTTTTTAGATCGGTGTACGCACTTGTTTGCTCCATAAAATTAGAACGAATGAAAACGAACTCATAACTGGGAGTGACCATATCTTGAAAACTCAAACATACTTGGCCGGGAGGGCGAAGTGTCTCAGCCATGATTTACGAGAAGCAAAAGTTTCTTCAGCCATGTTGCCGTAGTCGAGAGCGTATTTCCTGGGAAACATTCCGATTCACAACCTAACTCAAATCAACGCTAGCAAAGAATACTATATAAAATAGTAGAAAACTCAAGCATCGGTTCATTCAGCATGCTCAAGTGACAATTCATGAAGAGGCACGCGCGCGTAGGAAGATTAACTTCAGCACAGCAAGTCCCAAGACAGTTCGAAGACACATTTTGCAATCACTGCTACTCAGAATACCTTCGTTGTAAAAGTGCACAAGTGTACGCAGGGTCCAGGATGGGAGAAATGGCTGTGGTTCCAAACGAGCAAGTACGGCCCTCGTGAAAGGATTCTCCCGTCTCCGTGAAAAACTCACCCATACGCCTTGCGCCACGAAGTTTTCACGTCACCGCGGCGGTAAGGCTACAAAAGGCGATGGTTCGCGCCTCCGCCACTGTGCTCCAATCAGCAGCCGCTTTTACGTGGAAGGAAAAAGAGGGAAAAAAGAAAGAGGGGAAAGAGGGGAAAGAGGATTGAACGAATAGTGGATGCTCACAGGTGAGAGAGTAGTAGTGCTGAGAGAATAGACTATCAGGGCGAATCACTTAAGCAATTGGCAGAAGAGGCGAAATAGTTCTCTTCGATTTGAAAACAACGCAAACAGGTCTTACGCAAACTTTAAGATGAGGTTTGGCAAATTGCCAACAGTTGGATGTGACCCATAACGGTCCCATAATCGAAGGAAACTGTTTCGCCTGTTTCGTCAATTACTGAAGTAATTAGCCCTGATAGTAGACTTTTCTGTTCTTTCACCACACCCACTAACCCACCTATACGCATCCACTCATCAATCCTCTTTTCCCTCTTTTTCCTTCCACATAAAAGTTTGCTGATCGGAGCACAGTGGCAGAGGCGCAGGCTATCGCCCTTCGCTCGCCCTGCCGCCGAGCTGACGTCAAAGCCGCGCCGCATATGAGCCCGGGTGAGTTTTTCTCTCCTCCGGATTCTTTCGATGATGCATCATTCTCGGTCTACAGCCGCAGAATTAGTACCATCCTAGCAATTTGAAAGTACGTGACAAGTACGCCAAGGACTTGAGGCATAATGAGGCTTTGTCCAGTGATCACATTTGCGCTCATGCTCGCAAGTGCTACTGATCGTCTGTAGCCTCTCACCAAGTATTGACCGTGTTGACGCACAAGCACAAACAGTACCCTGCTAGTTTAAACATGTACAAGCTTCCGGCGATAAAACACTGAGCAGCAGAATAAAACAGGTAACGATGTAACGAGAATGTGCAGGGACGATCGATGTCACAGCGCCATACAGTAATTACTTTGTAAAATGAGAGGGGTTGCTATGGGTGGACGGAGCTCTGCCGTTGTTCAGAGCTTTCCCATACTTCATTCACAAGCCGCCGAAGTGAACCTCTGCGATTGCAAACCACGCCACGTTGTTCAAAGAAGAGATCCCGTGCGTGCGTATGTGATGAGGACCATGTCTTCAAGCCCAACAACTTTTGGATGTTTCCGAATACTATCACGTTGCAAGGGTGCGGAGTGGTGACAGCGATTGCGCATCCGGACCTGTACAGCTAAACATGGAAGGGATCTATATGCATTTGGTTACTATGAAATGGGGCTTTACACTAGGTCAGCCTCCAGCGTTCCCAGTAGCAAGTTTAAGCCTATTGCAATTAAGAACGCCATCACATTGTGTAACATTTCTACACGAACTCAGAAGAGGTCGTCGTACGACTGCACCTCCTACCAAATACGATCAGGCACAGCATTCGATGGGGATTTTGGTCGAGCTCGTACGACCCCCCCCCTTTTTGGGGGGTTCGGTACGACCCCCCCCCCCTTTTTTGCCGTTTTGTTTTTTTTGTGATGCGTATCGATACGCATCACAAAAATTCCGCAGAACCGCTGCGTTTCGGCGGCCGGGGAAAAAGCAATAGATGCGTATCGATACGCATCAAAAACTTTTCGCCGAATCGCTGCGTTTCGGCGGCTGGGTAAAAAGCAATAGCAATCAGCAAAGTAAAAAGCAATAGCAAAGCAATAAAGCAGTTAAAGCAGCAGTTTTTGATGCGTATCGATACGCATCAAGGACTTCGCCGAATCGCTGCGTTTCGGCGGCGGTTCAGCAGAACAGAATCGGCTCCAACAAAATAAATAAAAATATAAAAGCGAAATAGGACGAATACAATCGAAACAGGATGAATAGAAATGAACGAAAACGCTAAAACGCTTCTATCGCGCTAAAAATGCATTAACCCCGAGATGTGGGTACGGTAGCAGAAGCGCGTGTGTAATTGCAGCTTTGACTGGAGCAAAACGGCTATTAGCCATGGCGCGAGAATTTTCAGCAAAGTAGGGTGTCTTTGAAGGACCATAACTTCCTCAAAAGCGGACCTGTGGGGAAGAGGAGAGCGTATTGGTAAATTAGAAGGTTTGATCTTCCTGAAAGTACTAAAATGTTCATGGAAGGTCGCGAAAAATCAACAGAGAAAGCTGACCATGGCTTCGTTAGGATGAAGGTGAAAGTTCAAGTGAACAGTTTGAATCAATATATTTTTGTAACCACATTTCACAAATCGAGAACGATCGAGCTCTCAAGATTATTCTCTTTGCTAAACCCTATGACCTGTTCTGAAGCTCTGGGATCATGAGATGTCGCGATGGGGATGTTTCTTAGGAGTATCAGCCGCGCGAAAAACCCGTTTCCTGTGCACCGTTTCAAGTGAGCGTGTTCGAATAGCCAGGAACGCATGTAGAACGTATCCTGTGGTGGAGCAGGAGCAGGATATGGTTCGTTTAGCGCCGATCACGCTGACTTTGTATGCGCCGCGCACTGAGGTCCGCGCAGAAGTGATGGGATGGTGCAACTTGTGCGTAATGTCTGTTCACGCGAGCAAATGTGTCTATAGTATTCAGGGAGGTCTATGACGAACCTGTGCACTTGTTACAGTGTTTTCCCTTGTGGATTATGGGGCGTGTCCTGTTTCGAACATCCGACTGACCGCCGCCGATCCGTGCTCCTTCCAATTGCTGTCTCCGATAAAGGAGACCAACTGCTGGAAAACGTCTGATACGAACGATATGGTAGTCGTGTCGCTTGTCGAAAAAAATAGGCTGGCTCAGCCCCAAGCGCAATCGCGGACACGCCCCATCATCTGCAGCAAATCAGAGTATGCGTTTACTGTTTAGTCATCAACGGACTTACGAGATGATGCCGACTCATTTAAATTCCAGTTATTTCGCATTTTTATGGCTGAAAAATTTGTCCTTTTTTTCAAATATTCGAGTTCTCTACAAAGTAAGCTTCGCTGTACCGGACTCAGCACATTGACACCTTTGCGCTGCTCGATACTGGCTACGCACTCATTACGACCCCCCCCCCTCTCCTGGCGGCCTAAATACGACCCCCCCCCCATGG